GAAGAAGAAACGGACTGACTGAATTTCTGTCTTCACTTCTATCAACAAAAAATAAATTCTAGAAGGGAAACGATAGAGAATCAATAAAGAAAGGAATAAAAAAATGGTAAACTGCGCAATACAAAAAAAAGGAGAGGACTTGTGAGCGGACAACCACCAAGAATTGTGCGTCACAAGTAAAATAAAGCTACTGTAGATAGAAAAAAAAAGAAATTCGCAAGCAGACAACCATCAAGTTGTGTATCATGGTAAAAAAAAACGGACAAACATCTCATTATATTGTTGACAAAAGGAAAATTTTCCTTACATCATTCAAAATAAAATTATTTGCAATGTCAAATCCTTGATTTAAATCACATGAAAAGATTTCAATGAAATATAATATGGAGCGTGGACAATAGAAACAAGACGGACGATAATAGTATTTAAAATGGACGTTTATCTTGTTTTTATTGTCCACACCTACCTATATATGATCCTATTTAATTACCACATCATATAGTTCTTTTTCTTCCTACCTTCTTGTTTTTAGCAGAAATGCAATTTGATTTATTATACACCAATTGAAATAATCTAATAATATATAGTCACTTTTCGTGTGAATCAAATGCTGTTGCAATTGGATTGTTATTAAATATTGATCCTTTATTAAAGCCATCAGATCTAATACTAATACTAATACTACATAGACATAAAAATTTATTAATAAAAATAAATCCCAGATTTAATCAATCTTTTTTATTATCATATTCATTACCTTGGATATGTTCTTTCCTTAAGTAATAATTGTTACCTCTATAAATGTTTTCTTTATTGGAAATAGTGGGACCTTTCCAGCAAAAATAGTCTCCAAGGTCATCCGACCAAATTTGTGTTTTTTTACATAATATCAATCTAAATATCAGTGGAAATTATTGTACCCTGTTTGCTTAATAAAAAAATGGAGAATTCACCTTTTAAAATAATTTGCGTTTTTATTATGTAACCAATTCATGATCTACCAATTGTTTATATCAAATTCCAAATTTGGCAAAATTCCTCCTATTATTTTTTTTTTAATGACTCGTATTGAAAGATTGTTATGTTTCTTCTATTACAAAATTTTCAATTTATTAATTGTATTTACTTTTCTTAGTTTTGCGAGCAAGATGAGGAAGTTATAGAAAACTTCAGATGAAACAAGCTCAAGTATATTCGTTGATTAGCTATATCAAGTGCCAAAACATGCAGGAACTTTATTGACTCTGCTTTCTGCTTATGTTTTACAGGTCCAATTAATAATAAAGCACATAACTTAATTACTAGATTTACCTCAAATTATGAAAAGCGAACATCGGATAATGATGAAACTTGTTTTGAAAAGATTAATAAAAAGGCCAACACAAATGCAATCTGAAGATAACGTTTTAACCTACAGAAAATTCTTTTAATTTTTCGTATTTGCACACATGTGAAAGCAACTAAGGTAATTAATTGCCGAAGGTGCAGATGCTTATTTTGGAGAAAATGGGGAAAGTGAAAAAAGTGATATAGAGACTTTTGAAGAACACGTAGAAAAAAACCTCACAGAGGTATCGTAGGATTTTTTTACTTGGCATGTTTATACAAATGTGAGATTTGATTGCCATATTTGTATCTTTTTCTTTATGTTAATACTTGTATCCACTCTGTCTGAACTTAGGTAGGTGTGGACAATAGAAACAAGTTAAACGTTCATTTTAAATACTATTAACGTCCGTCTTGTTAACTGCAATTTTTAAAAAAGAACTTATATGGGATTCTTTGTTCCTCTAGAAATTTCTGATAAAAGAATACATGTAAAATAAAATAACAACATGATGGTTAGAGTGAGTGTGTTCAGGATGAGAGACTCGCTAAAATATGTTTTACAAGTCACTCCCGTTATAATGACATTCCATGTGCAAGCAAAAAATGTCAGTATAACGAGATTGTTATTATAATGGGAGTTCATATAAAAGGCATTATCATATGATTTTATAAGTTTATATTTTATTAATTATTTTTGGAACCAGTGTTGTGACTCGAAACTCTGAGTTTAGGGAAAACCAGAAACAGAAACTAACAGAAACCAGTTTAGGTTAGTATTTTTTGTTTAGGTTTAGGTTTAGGTTTAGTTTCTGCTTAGTGTAAGTTCATTTTCCAAAACATTTCGGGAAGCCAAAAGAGTTTCTGGTCACAACACTGATTACGAGTTACTTGTGACTGAGAACGATTGAGTGCACTGGCAACGTTACGAGTGCTTTCACCTGCTTCCCAACGCCCAATTATTCTTCCTTGCTCAAAGTCTGTTGATTGAGACATGATGTTTTAATTGAAATAACAAATTGAAAGTTCAATCTTTTTTTTAAAAAAAAAAATCTAGATATTTCAGCCGCAATTACCCTTTAAAGTTTGTTCGCGCATAATGATAATCGTCTTATTTACGATTTTTTTTGCGTTTTCTAATAATTCTCTATGAATATTCCACCAATAATTATGAATATTCATATTTATATATTTGAGAACAAACGGAACAACATTTTCTAAGTTCCCAAGATGCATTAAAACATTGTATCTTAAAATAGCTCTAAGTGCAACTTTTTCGAAAAATTTTAATTTGACTTTTAAACATCATAAAATTATCAATAACGATCAGTCCGATGTGATATTTTAGAATGTTATAGAAATCATTCCAGTGAACATTTTTTCACTAATACACAACATCAATTTGCTTAGTAAAAAATTGAGTATTTCTATTACCCGTTTACCCGATTATTTTCGCGGATCATCAAGTGAGTCGATACTTTTTTTAGGGGAGTGTGTTTATATCCAATACGGATAATTATACTACAATTCGGAATTTTTGTTTGCCAGATTTGAAAAGGTGACATGATGTTATTTCAATAAAGATGATGGTTATCCAATAAATTCAAGTTTCAAGCTATATTCTAAATTACCAAATATATCCAATTACCTTGTTCGAAAGTATCCAAATTTCTATAAATCTATGTTTATTAAAACAGCGATGATGAGCACACAAATCGCATCCGTTAGTGTATTGTAAAAGTAGAATTGTGTGTCAAAACGTGATTAATATAACAAATGGTCATTATTACTGTTACGAATTCAACTCTTTATCATTGCTTGTTACACCCCGCAGGACCCGAATATAATAAAAGATTATTTAAATTTGACATTCATATATATAAACTTTTGATTTTTTCATCAAAAATTAAAATATTTCGTATTTCATGATTATCTCAACCCATGCATTCTTCATCACTTTCGGATATACTAATACTGTACCTACATAATTTTTTTGTTAAAAAATTTTTATTAATTATCAATAATAATTGAGTATAGGGGATATTCAGTATGGTATAATTCTTGCAGAACGTATGTTATGGTATCGTATGTATATATACCAATGCTTAAATCCAAAAAAGGATTTAGAATAAAAATTTGTGTTACTTGGCATGGTCATACCATACCATACCATACGTTCTGCAAAAGTTATACCATATTGAATTTCTCCCTACCGATAATAATTCTATTAACGTGAACAACCAAAATCAACAGATTTCTGTAAATATATATTTTTTTACATCTTCATCACTCCAACCAGAACATGAACGAAGTTCAAATTCATTTGGTCTTTTGTCCTTTGATGTTGTTATCATTACTATTTTCTGATGGCGTTGATGATATTTGAAAATAAATTGGCAAACTTTTCTGTTGTTTACTTTTACAGCCACTTGTTTATCTAAATGTCCTTCATTATAATCTTTATCCAGCTCGATTTGGACACACATCTATTAATTTTGAATTTTTAATTCATACATATATTACTCTGATACTAGTTTGTTGTTGTTGTTCTAACAAAATTAACAAAAAAAAAATTACCCGAGGATTTGAAAACCATTTTTATTATTATTAAATCATTTATTAAATCCGTTATTCGAACTTCGTGTATCAGGTTTATTATTATTATTACTAAAAATGTTATTGAAAATGTTTTAAATGAAATTATAGGACTGGGAAACTTAGAAAATAAAAAAAGGGAAAAGATGCAAGAAAAAATTGACTTAATACGCAAATATAGTACCTGGTGCTATAAATAATAATAATATAACAATTAATTTTCCGATATGTATCACCAGCGTACTATCCCAATTAGTATTACAATTTACTAAATTTTATGATAAAAAAAAGCTTCGTTATTGATAGAAATAATTAAATTAAATTTTTCAAATAAAATAAAAGATTTTTTAAAAAATATCAAGCAAAGTTAAAAATGTCATTTGATAATAATAAATTATTATTATCAGAAAGAAGGGATTTCGTACTTGAAATTCATAACGGAATATATAATGATGCTTTAGCAAATACACATACTAGAGAAAGTCATAAAGATTATTTTTTTTCATTGGTCAAAAAAAATAAGGAGCTTTCTGAAAATGAAAAACAATATTGTAGAGAAAGGCA